AGATACTATAACCTCCTATTCAGTAATTGCCATAAGGTAGCACTAATACTTGTTTCAAAGCTAACTGTGAAATCTTTTTCTGATAGCAGTACAACTGATGCTTTGTCACAGGAACCAAAAATCTGTTATTTAAGTTATATAATTAAATTATCATTCTTGTCTGAGAATCACTGGCAATTTAGTTACTATCTCTTTAAAAAAGAAAAAAAGGGTAAAACTGGGAGTTTGATGGTTAGCCTGTAGTTAGCAGGTTTCTTTAATCAAAGCTTGGGTGCATGGATGCTTTCTATGACTTTCATAGCTATAATCCACAGTGGGGTAAGTGGCATTAACTTTTCATAAAGTCACACATCACTGCGTCCTTTTGCCCCTTCTTGTGCTGAGATACATTCCTTCAGTAGTTTTTGAGCTAACAAAGTGTAGAGGTTTCTTGCTTATTATGAGAATTTGATTTGTAATATTGAAACTGCTAGACTGAATGACATATTTAATAAAATTTGGGACCTTCTATTTGGCCTTTTTTATGTAAACAGCGTGGGAAGCTCATAAAGCTATTAAAAGCTTCAATTTATTTTATTTATAGAAACCCTTCTAAAGAATATTTTCTGGGAACAAGGAATGCAGTGAGGAGAAGGCATAGGAAAATGCACAGCCTAAAGCTCTGGTAGTATTTAAAATCGGTGCCTTTGCTAATCTAATATGAGCTCACCACAGATCCCAAGGGAGCTTGATGCAGGATTCCAAAGAAATTTATTAACATCCAAAGCATGTTTTTTATAATAAAAGTCAGGGGGTTTTCTTAATGAAAAAAACCCATGTGTTTTTTTTTATTTTTGAAGAGGGGAAAGAAAATGCACAGTGGATTACTTAGCATTCTGTTTAATGATTTTATTAGTTTGTATGCATTCACTTTGGTCTAAAACCACATTTGCTTTGTTCATGAACTTGAGCATCGAGCAGGATTTTTGTGAAAATGCACAATTAATTGTAAGCATTTCATAATTTTTATTTAATAATTTTTATTGAATAGTGTCATTATTTAATTGATTTATTTCAATTTCTTCAGTTTTAATATTAATTATAAATGTTATATAGAGATAATTGTTAATGTTATTACTGATTTTTCTTTGAAATACTAAGTACTCTCTGGTAGTGAAATAAGTTGACTGCATTATTGAATGCTGCTCTGGTAATGCTAGCTTACTTCACAGAAAAATCTGGCCTGGTCTGCTTCTCTTGCAAAGTTGCAGATACAGAAACTACGGTAGTTAGACCAATCTGCAGGAAGAAATAAGACAATTTTACAAGCATTTTGCAAGTGTGTGAAGAGACTGAGCCACTAAAAACATTTAAAGGAGAAATAAATGCCAATAAGGCGTAAGGCAGGCTGGAGTGAGAGTAGTTCACTTAACCATTTGTTGACCAGTCGGTCAGGAATACACCAAGCAATAATGAATTTCAACCAGCTACTAGAAACAGGTATGTTAAAATCCCTGTAGCCTTGCAGCTTTTCTTCCTGAACCTTTGGGAGCACTGCGTAGTGGAATGTGAGAGTACTTGATGTGCTGCTCACTTGGAGAGCTCTTCCTGTGAGAGGATCTGAGAGGATATGATGACCAGGATTTGGTTTTTGATTCTTGCTTGTTCCAGAACTTTAGATTTTTATAGTTTAGGCAGAATGGTGCCAATATGCCACTCCAAGCAAGTAAAAATATATAGTGTAACAACAATGAAATAGCATGGGATCCCTTTCAGCATTTAAATGTGCTGTAATTATATTTAAACAGTTCTTATGGGGTTTGTTACTTGTCTTGCCCATGTGATACACAAGTCAAAAGCACCTAACAATAACCTTTTAATGGAATACTTTTCTTTAGTAGAATCTATGTTGTATTAGAATTAAGATATTAAGTTTGCTTGACCTTTGAACAGAAAATAATAGCACAGCGAATTGGCTGTCTTGCTTTATCTAAATTATGTCAGCAGATGGCAATTTATTCAGTATCTTTGCAGCAAGAAAGGTTATGTAGCTTAGTTGTTTCATTTCTACACTTTGCATTTCATGCATATTTAAAATTAGGAAAAATATTTAATATGTCACTATGCTGTCCAATTTGTTGACAGTATTTCCAAACATTAATAGAAGAAACCTGCATTTTGTGGTCATTATAGATCCTTAAATAGTCAGGTTTGCTAATGTAGTTAGACTGTTAATACCTCAAGGGCATAGGTCTCTTATCATGGTGTATACATGAAAGCAGGAAACTGAGGCTTATAGAGACTGAGGGCATAATTCCTGAAACCCTAGCTAACTTCTACTGCTTTGGTTATTTTAGGAACCAGAATGTGTCATCAAATAGTACAAAAAATAGCAGAATGGTGTTGAAACTTGGGGCTAAAATTATAAGTCTCTATTCTACCCCAGGACTATTCTTGTCTAAGTTCAATACTTTTCCACTGTAAGGACATCTACTAAATTCACCTAATTGCTTATAAAAAAGTCATTATTTCCTAAACTTAAGATGCTGACAAACCTGTGTCTTGGTGAGTAGTGTGTTTCTGTGGTCCTCATCTACTTAATTCTTAGCAATTATTTTGGTCTGTAGTAAATACGGAAAACTAACAACTAACAATGGCTTAATTTCTTCCTTTTGAGAGTGTTTGTGGTCTGTTACAACCTTTTTTCCCCTGAAAGATTAACATTTTGAGAAAGTTCTGGAGACATTTTCTAGACAATTCCTGATTCCAATTAAAGTTTTCATTATGAGAACCAAGAGTAATATTCCCCCCCTTAAAAGTGTGTGCATTGATGTTCTGTGGGCTGTCACAGATGTGTACATACATAGAGCTCTTACTCTGAGTTGTGTGCTATTAGGTTGTTCTTTGTTTTTAAACAGGAGATCCTGAGAGGGAGCTTAATCCCAAGAAGAAGATTTGGGAGCAAATCCAACCTGATCTTCATACCAATGACCAGTGTGTTGCTACATACAAAGGAGTTCCGTTTGAAGTGAAAGGGAAAGGAGTCTGCAGGGCAGAGACCATGGCAAACAGCGGAATTAAATAAATTAAATGGTTTTTAGAAAATTTTTGAGATGTTGAAATGGAAAGTGATGCAAGCACAATAAAAAACATGAAGTGCATGGCTGAGACTCTTTTTGTTTGACTCCTTTTCCAGAGATCTAGAATGTGTTATTCCCCCAACATTTCGACCATTGACTTATTTACCATGCTTACTCTCCTTGAGGTTATGTGTTGTCAACAGCGCTCATAACTTAATTGCCAAGGCTTGTTTGTGGTTGGGCTACAGATAGACAAGTATATTTTCTAGACACCTTAAAGGTGCAGAGGATCTATGAAGCAAGAGCATCTCATTAAGGAAAAATTTCTGCCGTGTTCCTTCTGTGCTAATTGCAGTGCTATCAGTAGGTTAGTGAAGACCACAATTGTCCTTATTCTTCTAGTCACCTTACAATAGTTTTTCCCCTTTTCTTCTCAGCAGCTTTTATATACATTATAAGCCTTTGCACCTTCGTTCTTGTCTGTGTTATCTCTGTAGTCTGCCAACACTTGTAACAGGAAGATTAAACCATGGTGCTTCATGCCCTAAGATGTACAAGTGGGCGTACTTTCATGTCCCACAACTAAGGCGTTACAATTCCATTAAGATCAGAGCTGCCGCTTTGCTAAAATTGTTCTTTATGTAGTCCACCTAGGTATTTCATCCCAAATGATAGGTAGAACTAAGAAATAATGAATAACAGATAGATAGCTGGAACTAGTCCAATACTAAAAAAAAAAAAAAATCCATTTCCAGTGCTCAAACAGGTATAAAATGAATTGATTTTTTTGTTTTGTTTTAATGTGGTTTTTATGCAATGATACTTTATACAAAAGATGCTTTGGTTTTAACAGAAAGAGCTTCTTCAGTTTTTACAATTATAATTATTCCATAGTAATGTTGTACAAATAGTCATGTTGCTAGGGTAATAGCCTCAAATTACTTCTTTTGACTTCTGACTTCTAAAAATATGAAAATAAACATTTTGGATCAATTTAAAATAACCCTTTTAAGTAGCTATTTAGAGATACTTCAGATATTTTGGTGTATAATATTTAAGCAAATGGTTACTGTCTAACCATTGAAACAGTAAGTGCTGTTTTAACTACTGAAACAAAAAAATATTAACCTCTCTAAATTTTTCAGGCTTTGAACTTCATCCAATAAATTGAGAGAAAACAAAATGACAATGATACAAAATTAAAAGAAACGTGTAAAAGAGGAGATGAACAGATTTCCTTTTCAAATGAGTTTTGTATGTGCCTGTAAACTGTTTTTCATGCATCTGGGAATAAGCAATAGTAATTAGTTCTTTTAAATGTGCTGAATAGCATTAGGCACATGGAAGCCATTTTATCTGCCTTGTAAACTACATATCCAATAGTGTCTTATTAAACAAAATCCTTGAAGTTCAAAAACTCAGTTATAACTAATCTTGAATCACAGTAAGGAACTGCTTTTACAGTAGATAAATCTTAGCTTTCATACCAGAGAGCTCATAATAGAGATAGAAGTTCAGAGGAAATTCCGGAATTCAGAGGAACTCTTGAAAGCTTGAAGAATTGAGCAAAAGAGGTTCCCTTACAGTCTGAACTTGTTCGTTTTTAGGGTTGTTTTTTTTTTTTTTTTCTTCTTCCAGATGATTATTTTATGTGAGCTGGAACATACAGTCTGATGTAGTGCAAAATCTCATTTGTGACTACATACGTATTAAGGGTGTGATTTTAGAGCACTAACTTGTTCTAATTTTGTGGCTGAAGCTAGGATTTTGGATGCAGTAGTGTGAGGTACTATATGAAAGGCAAGTGGTTTGGTAATCTTAAGAGATATTTCTAATTGTGTGTTCAAAGGTATTTTGTGTGAATGTGGAGTTTTCCAACTGATGGCTTTTACTTTTTTATTCCTCTTAAATGTTACCTACCATAGAAAATAGACAAATGAGCACCTGAAAGCTTATTTTATTCCTTGCTGTGTTTTAAGTGAAAGCACTTGATAATTATTTTGTCTTACAAAATTCAAGAGCTTTCTTAGGACAGTGGTTCTTTCCTCTTTAATTATGGTCCTCTGGTTGTCTAGGAAAATGTATTTATGCTGTACTGAGCTCAAAAGTGACAACAGGGTACTTGAGGCACTGTGCAAGTATGTTTCTTCACTGCATCCAGCTTCTTCTGCCTTGTCTGCATGAGTAAGTAAAACTGCAGTGAAATCCTTCCATGTGGGACCCAGAAGTTTCTGTAATGAGAAACAAATCTTAAATAGTTATCTCTTCTTGTTCCTTTTCCCCACTCCCATTTCATATACTTGGTACATTAACAGACTAGTTACATGATTTTGGTTTTTTGTTGGTTTTTTTTTTTTTTTTCCTGGCAGTAATCCAGTTTGTGCTATCTGAGTTGCTGAAATATCTGGGGTTTTTTTCACCATTCCTTTAACATTCACTTTCTGTGGAAATGCTTGGCCATGCAGTACTGGCAGTTCTCTCTTCTCTAACTACACGTTAGTAGAATTTTTCCAGTTAAAAAATGTTCATGTAAATAAGGAAAAATGGTTGTTTAGCTATGTCACACATTAGTTTTAAATCAGTATTTGCCACATAGCTGTATTTCTACAAGTTTTATAGCTCTTCGAAAAATTGTTTAAAAAATCACCAAATCACCTTTTGTTGAAAAAATAAATGATGAATTTCTGTGTAACACGAACTGCAGTTCCAGCTGTGACCCAGCAATTCAGGAAAAACACAAATCAAGTGCATCAACCTTAATAATGGGCAAGAAAGTTTGTCTTCAGTTTCTGTGGTTTATCTGATGAAGCCGAATGGAGAGAACAAACTGCTTTTCTTTCAATGAGTACAGAAAATTTTAATATGAGTAAGAGATTGGGCTTTAAATTCCAGATTCCTGGAATGCGTTAATGGTAATATACAGGAACCAGTGAGATGAGGACATTGTTATGCTGGACATTATTTTCACCAACCAGGAAACCTCATAAAGTTCAATAAGGCCAAGTGCAGGGTCCTGCACATGAGATGGCAATCCCAAGCACAAATACAGGCTCGGTGAAGAATGGATTGAGAACAGCCCTGAGGAGGATGTGAGGGGTTTTTTGGTGAATGAGAAGCTTGATGTGACCTAGCAATGTGCACTTACTTCCAGTGCCTAAAGAAGGCCTATAAGAAAGAAGAATTAACGTATGTTGAAATTAGAACTAACTGTCAAACTACTGAAAAAGTGAGTAGCCTACCATTAGAGAGGAGAGCAAATCAAACACATTTTGAAAGCCGTATTTTCATCTATATATTTACTTACCAGGGTACTTTTATCTATGTATGTATTGTATATTTAGATAATATCAGTTGCAACAGGTGAAAAAGACTTGGTGGACTGAGAAGTCCCTTCCAGTCATAGATATTTAGAAAATTCATTAGTGTAAGACAGATGCAAGGTGTAACGTGCAGACTTTGGCAATAACTGAAAACCTTTGTTTCTTAGTAAGTCATACTAACCTGGTTCATCTGAAAATGCAAATATATCTGTTGGCCTTTTTTTTTCTCTTCAAAGATGTGTATGCATGGTAATGAGAAATCTCCAAGTGAAAAGAAAGACTTTGGTTTTCATTGTGTCTCCCTACATACTTTAACTACTTGAAAAAAAAGAATTCCCCCAGGAGCTTCAAAATATTTGTTTCAAGTCAGTTATGCTATTAATGTTCTTTAGCCTGAATAAGTTTATGGTAGCTCCCTAGTTATTTTCTCTTTAATAGATACAACAGTAGTAATAATGCAGGACTGAGCTGATCATCCTTGTCCCAGGTCAGATTTTTGTGTGATTTTCAACCCTTTGCTCTCTGCTGTGGTGCTTTGGAGAGTGCAGTAACTGACTTTTGCTTGCTTTAAACAATAATTCTCTTGAGCAAGCTAGATCCATCATGATAAAGCATGAACTGTAATTCTGAGAGAACAGCTTACTTCGATAGGTAAATTTGATTCCTAAATTCCTTTGTGCCAACCCCACTTACAAAAGAGAGCAGTTCTTGCCTCTCTCTTCTCAGGTTTATTGCAGTAAATGTAGCTACGGTGTTGGAGTTGAGAATGGTGTGTTTCGACTGCTGCACTGTGAAGTGTTTCACTTTTCATCTGCGCTTCTTTATTTTATTTTTGCAGTCAACTCTTCCATAGCTATTGTCACCTGAAGGTAAAAGAGTTGCCATTAGGGCAGAGGCTTCTGTTTATTTTCTTGTTACCTGGATGAACTGAACTGCATCATCACTTTCATCCGGACACAGAGGCAAGTCAGCCCGCAGGACCAAGAGAGCCAGGTGCAGGCCTTCCTCCCCGAAGTGGTGTGCCAGGGCTGATCCCACCATGTCTCTCACCTGCTCCTTGCTCAGAGCAGTGTGAGGGTAGCCTGGAGTGTCAAGTACTCGAACGCGGAGAGCCAGCTCACAGCCATTTCTTCGCGTTATCCCTGAAGTAAGGCAGCTGCGTCCAAGGCTACAGCATGTAGTCACAGAGCTTGGGGAGCCACGGCTCTCAAAGTCTGAGCTGCCCAGCAGGCTGTTCCCAGCAGCACTCTTACCAGTCTGAGTTTTTCCAAGGACAACAAGGTTGATTGTCATCTCATTGGTGTCTGCCATTGTCTATGCTTTTATCCACAAACCTGTCACAAAGTGAAGTACAAATAAGGTGTTTCAGATAATTTAAGCCCAAAACAAATAAACAAACAAAAATGTTTTCAAGATTGTGTTGTAGAATAACATTTAGTACAAGACATACACCTCTGTCTGATCCAAGGATGGATCTTCGCTGTCCTTCCCAGTCTGCTGCTGAGAAATAAGAAGACCCTGTGAAAGGTGTCACAGGTAGAAAAGCAACCTAACAGGCTTCACTCCTACACTGGCAGAAACTGAAGAGCTAGGAAAGAATATGATGTGAAAAGAGATTTAGGAACAAGCAAAGCAGACAGAGCTAAGAGGCGGCAACAGACAAGGGAGGAATTGGGAAACAACTGTGGAAAACGTGTTGCCATGCAGGGAGAGTAATAGACTAGGAAAAGGAGGAAAACTAGGGGAGGAAGAAGAGAATAGTAACAAATAAGTGCTGCTGTTATTAAGTGACCACATTTCAGGATGTCAATATTTACTTCTTGTGGGGAAAAAAATGGATAATAAGGGAGAAGTAGATTTTAAAGGAGCACTTCAAAGTGGGGAACAGCTTAGAATATGTCTTTCATCGGCTACCAGTGAAGTTGAAATAGACTAATCTGAAAGGGCTTTCTGATGCAGATAAATATAATAAGTATGTCCATTAAAAAAAAAAAAAAAAGAGCAGAAATAGCCCATGCTGCAGCTTCTAATCCCATATGAAAATGAGATTTTTAAAATGTATCCTGTACAGACTTAATAACTCAGTTAGTGGAAAATAAAAGCATAGACTGGTGGATGAAGAGTTAGCTAGGTATAATTTTCAGTTACTCTAACTGTTCACAAATAAGACCTCTCATTCTCTTTGTACTTTTCTCTAATCCAGTATCTGAAGGTGTTTTGGTGTTGATCGACTAACAGGGATATTGGCTATATAAATAAATTCAGACATGTTTCAAAAGGTAAAACCATAGTGGCACTTGGTAGTTCATTTTAAGTTTTCGATGACATCCAAATTTCAGAAAAAATTTTTTTATTAAGATTCTATGTTTAGGTATTTATAGAGAAATCATGGATAATTTTGGACTGGGGTTTCCTGCGATTAATTTATTTAGATTCTTGCTGTGCAGTTTAAGCTTTCTCTCTCAAATTAAAGCCATGCCTAAATCAAACTTTTGAAACAATTTCAGTATAATGCTAAACATGCAAGAGCTAGTAATATGCTAATTTTGTTACGGACAACATTGAATACTGTACATGATAATCTTCCTTACTGAATTCACAGTGCAATTTTTGTGGATTTTTCAATGATCAATTTCCTTTTAAAAAAAACACCTTATGAAATGGTTGTCTTCAGTTATTTATCAGTTTAGATGTGCGTTGTCTTACTTTTTCTGTAGCGTAATAACATGTCAGGGTGGACATGCGTTCATGCAATCCTTTTTAAAATCACAATCAAAGATTTGTCCTTTTGTCCTGTAAGCAGTCTACCCTTAAATACTTAAATTAATTTCATATTGTGTCACTTACCTTATTTTCACTTAAATTCTTCTTGCGATCAGACTTCATTCATAAACCTCGTGTGCAGTGTAAAAAGAAGTTCATATGTGAACTTTGAAACTAAGAGCAGCAACGTACCATGCCGAGACTGTTACGTACACATGAATCTGGTTAATCTATTACTGATAAATACCCATTCAATTGGATATATTTGATCAGTAATTGGCACTGTTGAATTTTTGCAGCTGAGCTGCAGATACCATTTCTGCAGTTACTTTAGTGATTGTACGATGATATTTTTAAAAGTTACTTGAATTCCACCAGCATTTAAATGTGCAAGTAATTGGTGGTGGAATTACTTTGTATTACATGTTCTGAATGTGATGAGCGTGTGCACTTTCTCTTATTATTTCAATGAATTAATAATTGCAGTATTTTCGTAGCATACTGTAAATAGTTTGCAGACATAAAGATGTTTGCCTAGCAAAGATGAATTAAAATAATAAAAAATTTATTAAGATACAGAAATTATTTGTGAGTCAGGAAGAAAACTGAAGGCTTACACAACTGCCAGTCATGTGCATTAGATGTTACCTGGATTGCCTAATACTTTTCTCTTCCAAGAATTGTTATTTACCATGCTATAGTAGCATTAAAACCAAGTATAAACAGGTTGTCCAGAAAGGACCTATCACTTGCTTTTTAGACAATATCCCACAAGCAGGTAAGTAATTGGTTAGAAAATAATCACAAATTCGTGCTTCAATGACCAGGTTCTAGTTACAGAATGGAAGAGTGGATAAGCCTTTCCTGTCTGTTCACATCTCTCTGACTGTAAATCCTGGGGGGGTGGAGGCACATGTTTACTCCAAGGGTATTAAGATATGTGTCGTTCCAGTGAGAACACAAATCTGATATGTAGGTCATCTGTGGTGGGAGGAAAAGAAGAACATGCTTTCCAGAGCTCAGTGCTGCTGGGGACATTGCCATCCAAAGTGTAGCTCTGTGTAGGAGCCTGCAAGTGTTAGTTTACCACAGTACCAGGGCTGTTCCTGCCTGCCACAGCAGTGAAGTGAGACTTCAGTTCCTCTAGAAGCCTGCTGTGTCCTGCTGTGGAGCCACAGGCACAAGCCATGCTTTGGCAGAAGGTAGGAGCTGATGGTACCATCACAGGCTCCTCATGTAAACTCACATCATTCATCATGAACGAGTTCACAATTTTGTGTTACTTGGCTATAGATGACCGTGTAAAAATTTTGTTGCTCTATGTTTTTAAGAGCACATAGACAAGTTGCTTTCAGGCGGCTCTCTGCTCTTGCACCTGCCTGGTTCTGGTGATAGGTGAGACATTAAATATTTTCTTGTGTTTTATGTGCACCTGAGGCAACTACTGATAGCTTCCACTGTGAAAAACTTCAACAGCTCAATACTGTGCACAGCCTTTGTGTCTTAAGGCACATCTATATATGAAATGTATGGCAAGGTTCCTTCATTTGCTGGTGAATACAAAGTCAAAGACTGGATGAGGAGAGACTCAGCAGTGAAGCAAAAGGGTAGGTCAGTCTCATAAAACTATGGATATTATGAGATAAAATCCACCTACTTCCTTAAATTTGCCTATAAGTCTTGACTTTGATGAAATTGTCAGTCTAGCTCTGAACTTTTAATTGGACTGTTCTAATGCACAATTGTAAGGATAGGTACAATTTCAGAAGAATTTGTGATGGAAAGCTAGAACTTGATTTTGCTTAGGAAGACTGTAAAATGCCTTCCCAAATGGGTGAGATGGGAGTTTTTTCTTTCTTTCAGAGAAAGTTGCAGGGAGAAGCTGTGAGCAAGCTATCTCCCTGGTATGCAGAGAGATAACATGTTTGCAGACATGTACAAGGCCTCCTCGGGCCAGAGAGAATGGGGGAGGAGAGAGAGGAGCTACAAAAAACCTTGGAGAAGGCAGGGCATTGCCTTTTTCTGCTGGGGACCCGGTGTGTGCAGCATCGTTAAGAAGTGGTCCTTGTGTCTGAAATAAACCTTTTAAAATTCCTTCCACTGCCTCGGCATTCTTGGGAAGAATACCTGCATGTGTTTTACCTTACAACAACGTCCTCGTGACATCTGAGGTGGTGTATGTCCTAGCAGTCACATTCAACTGAGCTAGCAGCCTGCCAAGGAGATAATTTAAGTTGGCGTGGACAAGGATTTAGGCTACCAAGAAAGCTAGAATCCCAGAAGCGGAGGAGTGTTGTATGCAAAATACAGCTTGCCCAGCTGGATGCAGAACTGGGGTTTTATGATGGTTAGATGGCTGTAAAATTAGGAGTAGTGTAAATGAGGCACCACTTAAATGAGACCTAAAACTTGGCTAAACAAACTTCACCACAAAAAAAAAAAAAAAAAGGGCATTTCTTTCCAGTGTTCTTATGTGTGTAACACAGTCCGAGTTGGAACGCATCTGGAAGGTCTTACAAGAGCACAGGCAGAGGATTTTAGAAAGTTGTCTTCCTGGGAGGATATGACAGGGAAGAAAGATCAAACTGATTTATACGGCATTTGCATAGGCTCCTCAAATGTGGAAAAAGTCCTCCCCAAGATGGCAGTATCAGCCTGCTCCACAGGTATTGTAAAACTCAGCTGCGGTCCCCTTGCTCTGCAGTCCTATGCTGAAATAAAATATCGGATCAGAAATGAGCTGCAGCATTAGAAAATACAGGATTATTACAGGACTCTTCAAACACCTCCTGAAATAAGATACGTTAAAAACATTTGTCTCACTTTTGTCATAAGAAATATTTTTACCTACAAAATGCAGACACCTTAATTAATGAATTTGAACAGCAGTAATGGAAAGGTAGCAGTTAAGAAAATGGAAGTGTTATTTACTGTTCCTTACATGATTCTTGTAAATCAACACCTTTTGTTTTCTCTAGCTTTTAAGTTGAGCCAGTGAGAATGATGAGGCTTTAGATATGAGATCTTAAAATCTGCTTACTGTCAGAATATGAATTTGCAAAGAACAAGTACAGAGTACAATAAAATTCCCTTGGATGATTTTTAGCACTCGTTGTTGCTAATGGGTAAGTTATTTTTTTTTGTTTGCTTTGTTTTTATATTACTTTATTTTTGAAATGACAGTGAGAAAACGAAGATTGAGCCTATTATAGATTGGCAGACAGGAAGGATTCTTGTAACTGATAAAGGAAACCTTTACAGTATTGTTTCCTTGGAAATACCAAGCAAGTCTAGAGAGGAACTGTCAAGAATCTGAGGAAGTAAGGTCCCTAATCTAATTGAAAATAAGCATCATTTGTGTATCCAGCATCTTTATTTGTCTTCAGAAAACCAAGGCTAAAATAATTTTCAAGTAACCGTTAGTTTTGTATCTGTCTACAGAATTAACTAGAGTTCCAATGCATTTTAGTCACAGTACTGTGTCAGCTGCTGTTCTGTTGTAGTCCCTGTGATCACCCAGTTGGTTTGCACACACCCTAAACAAGCTCTCCATGATGCTTATTAGGATACACCAAGCAGGCTAGATCTTGTAAAACTGAAATAGCAGAGTTTCTCTTTAGTTGCACATGGTATCTCTTACCATGTGTCATCTTTCAGTTCCCACGCCTTCCCATCCCTTACAGCTTCTTTCCCGATGTGGGCTCTTATTTTAGCCCAAGATGATGCCATAATAAGTAATTTAAGATGTGCTTTGATGAATTTTTCTTACTTAGAGAAAACCCAGTGAGGCCATTTTATGGATTGCCACACACAGAGGCAGGCTGTTAGCCTGCCCAAACAATATGAGAAATCCAGGAAGGTATGCAGTCCATGTAGTCAGTGTGGCTTCAGTTCTGTCACATGTGTAATTTCTAAGAACCAGCAGGCACGTCACTGCTGAGAGAGAAATAAGACAAATCTAGCGATGTTCTACTCCTTTTGGACTGCATTCACACCAAAGCCTTCTGTGCTGATTCTAAAGGATGACGCATGTAAAGTACACTGTAGTTTCCTTAAAACTTTGCTTAATGCAGTCCTCAGTATCTGTAGTAATTTTGAACATGAGTAATCAATTATCAGTAGTCTGCAAGATGATGTTTCTTTTTGCAGTGTCGGTGGCTGTGTAGGTTATGTGCTACTACATTGGCATTGCTAAGGGGAAAGGAGGTGGGGTGTAACTGCAGACTGAAGTTGCAACTGCACCAGCTTTTGGCCAATGTCTGTTTGTACAACTGTGGAATCAGCCCCTCAGGTTCCTACTGTACTTCTTACAGCAGATTATGGGTTCAGGGCAAATACTGCTGAAGAAAGGCAGATCAAGGACCGACTTTGTATTTGAAAGGAAATTGAACAGAACTATCAGAATAGTGAGAATATCAGTCAGATTTTTCTCCTCTCTATTCTCTAAAGGAATCACCAAGAGCCACAAGATATCCTTGCCCTTCATCCTCTGCAAATAATAGGCAACTTCAGGTTATAAAGCAGTATCTTTGACATGCTGATCTGGTAGATCTCTGCTGTGGAAGTAGTGTGTCTGTTCAGTCGGCAGGAGTGATATTCTTCTAAGCACTCTGCTTCTCTGTGCACTTAGAACAGCATTGTAGCAAGCCACAGGAACACAGTCTCTTCTTCTTTCCTGTTACTATGGTTTGGTGTGACATGGCTTTTCAAAATGCTGGGGAATGCATTGTAAAGTAGGGCATATCACTTTCTGTTGCACGCTGCCGGTTTCTTGAATCTCCTACTAGTCCCCTTCTCCAATTTAACTGATGATTTTCCCCTTGGCACCATATCAATTTTTTTTTTAATATGCAAGGAATGTTTTTAACGTGCCATATTGAGCTATGTTGTCTCTTGAGCAGATTACTGAGAGATATTTAAACTGCCTTACTTTCACCCATGTTGTCATGATATGTTTTCTCTAGAATGAAGGTTGTATGTAAGTCAGAAGTGTACAGGTCTGGCTGTAGGGCTGTGCCTCAAGGCTGATGTGTTTTATCTGTTCACTGTGAAATATCTGTTTGTATCTGTTTGTGCGAAATACACAAAACCTCCAAAGAAATAAAGGTGATATTGCAAGTAAGACTACAGGTATGTAAATTATATTTTTAAAACACCAACAA